TGATGGGAAAACAAACCCGCCGGTGATTTACAGAGGACCCGATGCAGCGGGAAAGTTCCTAGAATATCTACAAAATGAAGAGAGAATAATCAGGGAAAAATTATCGTGTAAGATACCCATGCGTATGACGAGGGATGATTGGAGGGCCCATAAGAAGTCAACGAGTTGTCACGTTTGTAATAAACCCCTGGATGGGGATTCTGTAAGAGATCATTGTCACGTCACGGGTAATTATCGGGGAGCCGCTCATAACGAGTGTAACTTGAAACTAAAAATGAATGCTCAAACAATACCCATCCCCGTTGTGTTTCATAACCTTAGGGGATACGATTCACATCTCATTATGCAAGCTATCTCGAAGACCGACGGCGGTTTAACGTGCATTCCTAATAATATGGAAAAATACATATCGTTCTCGTTGACTAAACCTATACATTATAGGGACAAGGATGGGAAATCTAGAACAAAGCAAAGTAATGGGCTTAGATTCATAGACTCCGTACAGTTTCTGTTATCTTCCCTGGACAATTTAGCTAATGCGAACAATCCCGATGACTTTGCGATAACAAATAAATATACCGATAAGATAACACGTCATTTGTTGCTGAGAAAAGGTGTATATCCTTACGAATATATGGATGATTGGTCTAGATTTGAAGAAACTGAATTACCACCCCTCGAATCATTCTATAGTAACTTAACAGAATCTAGAATAACAGATGCCGATTATGAACACGCTCTGACGGTGTGGGATAAATTAGGTTGTAAGAATTTAGGTGATTATCACGATCTGTACTTAAAAACCGATGTACTGTTACTCGCCGATATATTCGAGATATTTAGAAAGACGTGTTTCAAACAATACGGCTTGGACCCGGCATGGTACTATTCCAGTCCCGGACTATCGTGGGATGCATTGTTGAAGAAGACCGGCGTAGAACTAAAACTACTCACAGATTACGATATGCACTTGTTTATTGAGAAAGGATTAAGAGGTGGTATATCGATGGCAGCTAAAAGGTATTCTAAGGCTAATAATAAATTAGTGGAAGGATACGATCCTAGTAAACCCGACACCCACATATTATATCTCGACGCCAACAATTTGTACGGATGGGCTATGAGTCAACCTTTACCCACGGGTGGTTTTGAATGGGTCAATGATATCAATGTGAATAATATCCATAATATCGAAGTGAATAAAGGGTACATACTAGAAGTTGACTTGGAATATCCAAGTTCGTTACATAAAGACCATAACAGTTATCCGCTAGCTCCCGAAAGATTAATGGTTAATAAAGATTGGATGTCGGAATATCAACGCTCCTTGATGGGTAATAGTAGGTTAGCTAACGTAGAAAAACTCGTACCAAATTTGATGGATAAAACAAAATATATAGTTCACTACAGAAATCTCCAGTTGTATCTATCGTTAAGTATGAAACTTAAGAAAATACACAGAGTTCTAAAGTTTGATCAAAGCCCTTGGATGGAGCCCTATATAAGGCTGAACACAGATTTAAGAAAGATAGCTACCAGCGATTTCGAAAAGAATCTATATAAGCTCATGAATAACTCGGTATTTGGTAAAACTATGGAGAATCTAAGGAAGCGTGTTGATGTTAAATTAGTCAGATCTAATGAGGAAGAAAGACTCAGGAAACTTATAGCCAGTCCGGCTTTTAACAGAAGCAAGATATTCGATAACGACTTAGCCGCGTTGCATATGCAGAAGAGTAATATAAAATTCAACAGACCGGTGTACGTCGGTATGAGTATTCTCGACTTGTCAAAACACTTAATGTATGACTTTTATTACAACGAACTTAAGAAGCAATACGGCGATAGGTGCAAGGTGTTATATACCGACACAGATTCTTTGTTGATGGAAATACAAACCGAGGATGTGTATAAAGATATGGCAGAAAAAATAGATATGTACGACACGAGCGATTACCCAAAAGATAATCCACTGCACAGCGTTGTAAATAAAAAGGTGTTAGGTAAGATGAAGGATGAATGTGCTGGGACCCCTATAGCGGAGTATGTGGGATTAAGACCTAAGATGTATTCTATAAAGAAGTCCGATAATGGAGAGATAAGAAAAGCTAAGGGTGTTAAGAAGTATGTTGTAAAAAAGCATATCAAACACGAACAGTATAAAGAATCATTATTTAACGGTAGAACGTTCAAACACGAGATGAACTCTTTAAGAAGTTACGATCATAGGATATATAGATTAAGAATGAACAAGACATCATTATCCCCCTTAGATACAAAGAGATGGATTGATAATGATGGTGTAAATACCTATGCTTATGGTTATGGTGGTAATACCGTACCGTCGGGAACTATGAACAACTCTTCTCGTACAAATGCCCTACCCGGTCCATCTTGAAGATAATAAAGAATAGGCTCTCCTTCTTTCGTAACCAATCGACTAATGTTATACGTCTTAAGGGACCATATGGGATCGGTTGCGCGACGTAGCCCTCCTTCGAGTTCACCGGCCTGGTATAAATATCTTACCCTTACTCTATCCGGAAGTTTTCGTTCTTTGCCTCTCCTCGGTGCTGAAGATTCGGAAGTCACGGATTTCATTTTAATAGCATCGGATGGTTTCTTCCCTATTAATCTCGTCACTTCATTATTCAGCGCTGATACAACGGCTGATAATCGTGTCACCCATTCGGTTGATCTCAATCGCTCGGATTTCATTTCGATCCCATACTGATAGCCAAACAAACGTTCCGCTAATGTCCTGTTAAATCTTTCGACGATAGCTTGACTGCGGTGGGCCTCTCTTTCACCACGGACGATTTCGACATCGTTCTTTGTTAACAGTTTAGTTACCGATCCCATAAACTCGCGACCGGGATCTACTTGAAATAGCTTAGGCCATTTTAGCGGTCCGCGTTTATATATGCGACTCAGTGCATTAGCTACCTCTGTTGATTCTTTCGATGTTAATGGCTCAGCCTCTTTGTATCGACTAGCCACATCCACTACAGTTAAAGCGTATTTATACGTTTTGCGTTTTACCTTATCGTGGGGAAGAAACAAGAGGTCAGCCTGATGAACTTCATTCGTTGTAAAAATATCAAACTTCTTCCTCGGTATATAACGCGGTGCTGGTAAATATATTTGCCACATCGCTTGTTTCTTTAACCAATCCTTGGCCACATCTTTAGATACCTTAGCCGCGGTGGCTAATTTTTTTATTGCTCCTACACCTTTCCAATATCCTCATGGGCTATAGTAAATTTTATCCATTATTAATTAATATTGATATTTCTTTTAAAACGACTTTCGCTGAATCACATCACTAATAGAAGCAATGATTGGCCCCAGGTATTGGTGAGCTAGAGCCAATTTAACTTAATCTTATGACTATCATTAAATCGCATCATCATTTTGGCATAAAAAATTCCTCCTGTAGTAGCAGTATAGGTATATGAATCCTGCTCCAGTGGAGTTGCGGCAGAACCCCCATTACCTATACTACTCCTGCATCACTTCAGGCTTTCCTCCCACATTAAGATGATACGCCATGATGTTACTGGAATACTGTTCAAAGTGGCTCAGTCACATTCTACCTCTCCTCGGCATCAAACATAAAAGAATTATGTGGCTGACTGCTTTGTATGGTTACATGTATGCCACAATGCCATAAAGTACTATTGGTAAATCTGTCTGTGTGAGCGAGAAACAATACCTGTTCATCAAGTTCACTACTGTCAGGTCTTGTTGATGTATGTGACATGTTACAAGTTTGCGGAACAAATCCCTGCTGTTTGTGTTTTTGAGTGTTTGTTGACATGACTTTCTAATATGACTTTGAAATCATTATTACAAATCTGTTTTGCCAATATGTTCAGAGACCTTGGACACTGTCTGTGAGGTAGTATAGTTTTATGACAGAACAGCTATTTCAGACCTCAAGGTTTCTGTTATCTAATAAAGGTGAACTTCTATAACTATACTATGCAAAAAAAAGTTGGGGATATTTTGTTTTGAGGTGAAACCAGAGGAAAATACACTCAGAACAATATCTGACGATGAAAGTAAGTGATTTATGTGGCAAGAACATTCCCCAAGAAATCAAGCTCCCAAACACAACATTGTGACAGTCATGAAGCACTAACCTCGGACAGCATGTGTAAGGGTTGACATGCCAGATTTACCATTGTCACTCAAACTCAGGTTGTGAGCATATTGTTTTCTTGGAACCAAACGCTCAAAGATAGGCATGTTGCAGGTGGGCACACGTCAGAATATTGTTGCCCAAACGCTGCATGTGCCTCAGTCTGTTGTGGGGCCCCATAACAACAAACACAAGACGTCGATGATCGCCGCCGCTATACCCTACTTGTTTTGCACATTATTGTTGGCACAGTATTTTTAGACCCGTGAACATTCCGGGGTAGAATAGGTCTTCAGCAACCCATGCTTGCTATAAAAGGCAACTATGCTTGTCATAAAAGGCGACTAACGGGATAGGGTGGTCAGGCTCGCTGACTTGGTTGATGCATGTCATCGATCCCAATTGCATTGATCGATGCTCATGATGTCAGTCACTTGATTTTCTGGTTCAGACTCGATTATTTACAGACCGCCGTCATATAGCAGGAATGTTGCTGAGTGCGGCGTTAAACAGCAAACCAACAAACAAACAAACCACAGTATTTTTAAAGATGCAGTTCTGTTCCTGTAATATTCTGACAAAGTTGGTATTCCAGGTCAGTGGAGCCCTGTTTGTCATAACAGCCGACTCCATTCATGTCATCATATTCAGATAGCATGGAGTGTTATCTGCCCGAGACTTGATCATACCTTGAATATTGTTGACTTGGTACTTGGTGCTCATGCTACTGAGATTCTTTAATTGTTTGTATTTGTTTAAATATAATGTACAACTTGCATGATATACCTGTAGAATAACATGTTCCTTATTTGTAAGATGTCGTACACATGACCAGCTGTGATCCTTTGTGTTACAGCAAAGTCTGACCTCCAGACTCCGGACACTGACCTCCAGACTCCGGACACTGACCTCATTGTTGCGTGCAGGGAGGGGAATCTAAAGGCAGTCAAAGACATCCTAGAACAGAGCCCGGCGGAGGACATCAACAAGAAAGGCTGTGGTGGGATGACACCAGTGATGTGGGCAGCAAGGAGGGGACACAGAGAAGTGCTCGACTTGCTTGTGAAAAAAGAAGCTTATCTGAAAGTTGTGGATGATGCCAGTAACAATATCCTTCACTGGGCCTGTTATGGAGGGCATGTGGCAATGGTGAAACATGTTGTCTCAAAGAACATGGTGGACATCAACAGTAAGGGGCGGGATGGGAGAACCCCGTTGATGTGCGCAGCTCGGGAGGGGAAAAGCCGAATCTTTGACTTTCTTGTGAGTAGAGGGGGCCTTCCATCAGGGATTGACAAGGATGGAAACAACATCCTTCTACTGGCCTGTTTGGGTGGGAATGGGAAGATTGTGAAGTACATCATCTCACATGACGATGTAGACATCAATGGAAGAGGACAGTCTGGCAGGACTCCATTGATGGCAGCAGCATACAAGGGACATGGAAAGGTCTTTGACCTGCTGGTTGATAAAGAAGCTGATCTGACACTGGTTGATGATGCCGGTGACAACGTCCTCCATGTGGCCTGTCTGGGGGGACATGTGAAGATTGTTAGCCGTGTCCTCGATTTGGACAGGGTGGACATAAACATTCAAGGTCAATGCAGGAGGACACCACTGATGATGGCAGCAAGGCTTGAACATAATGAAATATTCCATTTACTAGAGAGCGAAGGAGCTGATGCATCACTATTGGATGATGAGAATAACACCATCCTTCATCTGGCCTGTGAGGGAGAGCATATTGATATGGTGGAGCATGTACTCTTTCTGCATGCTGTGAATATCAATGCCAGGAACAAACAAAATGAAACAGCAACCATGCTGGCAACAAAGGGAGGTGACGTGTGCAACCTTCTTGTGTCGCATGGTGGCCGCAGTAGGTGAAAGGAGAAGGACAGCTGAGAGTTCACTTTTTTGAATTGTTGAAACTGTTAAACATACCAACTACATGGGAAGAGAGCTTGATAATGGTCCACTGGTCAATTGGAATGTTGTTTTGATGTTCCATACTTCAGTCACATGTTGATGGCGGAGGTCAAACGAAAAAAACTTGAAACATTCTTATGAAAAAACATACAGTTCTGAATAGATTATTCTTCACCCAATAACAGTAAAAGCAATATTCCCAAGGTATCCCTCGTGCTACCAGCCTAGCTAAGAGATAAAGCATTGAGTCTGTGATAGTCCCATATTCTTCAAATGCATTCGAATGACAGTAGCCTCAGAGTCCTCAGCAAAATCCTCTGTGTCATAGTTGTGGGCATATCATCGTGTTCCTTCTGCATATCATTCATCAGGGGAAAAACATCATACTGCCTGTCAATGACTTAGTTGTACCCATTTCACTTGGAAAGGAGAAATCCCCTTTTCCTCAAGGCATGCATTTTGAGTGAGTGGGCTTCACAGCAGGTACTGGGCTCTGTTGTTTTTGTTATTGGGGTATGTAGCTCTCTCTGAATGAACTTGAGTAGTACAGAGTGACACAGATCAAGAAAGTCAAACACTGAACAGTGGGGAAACCGTTTAGAGAAATCCTTTGTGCACAGACGTGGAGAGTCATTCGGGGATTTCAGATGCAAATTTTATTTCATGAGAAATGCTACTAACACGAATAGGTAGGAACACAAAGCCTAGATGCTAGAGCACAGCCTGCAGCTTGCCTGATGTAGTTTCTGTTTCGGAGGAAATTCCAACAATCTGGCAATGCCTTTGTGTACCTGGCCCAGTCATCCAGATTGTGACACATGCCTTGCTATAGATGCATCACCCACTGATATTTGAGGAGACAACACAGTCATCCTCTCAATGGGCACACGTCTTTGACATAAAGGTCATTTTACAACAAGAGGGCCAAATGGACAACAGAAAATAAGCAGAAAATATTATTCCCAGTACAGAACTACTTTCTTACTGTATGATATATTTATGTGTCATTACCATCACATATCAGTGGACATCACAATCGCATACTTAAATAACGATTGCTGTAGTAAATAAATAACCCATATTAGTGTTAATATAAAGTCATAATTGTGATATCTACCAACAAAGACAGATTATTGCTCGCCTTTGGGGACTTGATGATTTCAGTACCACTACACATAAGACGTACACTGAATGTCTAAAATCAAGCTGTGTTTACTTTTATTAACTTTGAGATTATATAGTAGCAAGGCTTCTGTTAAATTATCATTATTATTCTATATTTTACAACAATGAACCTGTGGCATCGGAAAGGCCTCTAGTTGTGAAGAACCAGAGGCAACAAGTTATTACCAAGTGGTAGGTTTTCATGGTATCCTCTGCATTGGCCGTGGGTCCGTCGTGATAGACGTCAATACAGACAACTCATGGCATCCATTAATCTGGATCATCCATAGAGTACACATGTACACAGACACTGAAAATATCTCTTCACACGGAGGCGGTTGGTGGATCTGATTTTTCTCTACTACCCATGTGTCTAGCTTTAGTGTGGAACATTGTAAGTTGCTTGAATTGATTGTAGATGGCAAAATGAGCGCGGGAAAATAACCTTGCAGTCACTTATGGTATTAAGAAAAGTGAATAGTGTGGAGGAGTTGTCTCCCTTATACCACAGATGTTCAGGCAGTATTAAGAAATGGAAATAATCAAGGCTGGAGATGTTTAAACACGAATAATTAATGAAACATTATTCTAAACAAAGAAGATAATTTTATACCATATATTTTACTACCGGATTCGGGTTTTAAATTCCATAGAAACCCTGGGACTTCCTTTTTCACTATATTAACCGAAACAACATTTATCAACATTTGTATGTATCAAACATACTTCCCATGAACCTAGGGAAAGGAGATTAAAAAGTCTCTTCCTGCCGTACTTGAAAAAAACAGATTCGTTAAAGCATTCTGGTGCGTGAACAACTAAACTACAGACAGTTGCAAGGTCGATCTACTGAAATATACAGTAAATATTTGTCATTTGATGTGACATTATTCCGCACATTTCCCTGTCTGGGTTGTGATCAAATGCAAAATTAGTTTCTAGCGAGAGACATTCACAGATCGCAACCGGAAGATGTAAATATAAAATCACTAGGATACCACAGGTATATTATTTAAAGTACTTGGTATGTTATAACAGGTTGCAGGTTGTCAGAACAGCCTAAAAACTTGAAAGTCAAGATGGCCACTAACATAAAGTCAAAATGGCCTTAAAAGAATCATAACGGCCACAGGTGATAATGTCAAAATGGCCTTAATAATTATCAACGTCCACTTATATGTTGTTCCTTGTCATTATACCCAGCCGCCTGAAGGCAGACAACGTGTCTGTCTTCAGGAACCCTCATGACTTTTACCCCATCCACCATAAGTCAAGCAATCATTATGTACTTCTGTGGCCGTTTTGACTCGACTTTTTGAGGCCATTCTGATTTGAGTCCGTTTTGACCTGCTTCCATTGTATCATCGTCGTTCAGCCCGATTGGAAACCAGTAGGGTAATTTATATTAATTTCACTTAGACAATCTGTGATAAAACATATAGCTCGAGTCCATTCCCTATTAATTTATTTATTTGTTAACATGATTTCATCATTTCTTATACTTATAGAACGAGATGAGTGTTCAATGTGGATATGTGTCAGACGAGTTAGGTTACTCGCCAACAAACCATTAAGAACACATTGACTTCTGATAATTCCATAACCTTTTCTTTGTGGGTATATTTATCGATCGGCTGTGTTTGAGAAGGAATTATTATTATGCAGCCTATCACATGTTACGTTTTAAAAAGAATTCTTAACATTATGAATAACTTGAATTGCTCAAGTACTTTCTAAGCAATATCATCATTTGTCTAACGCACCAAGGTCCTCTGCATCCTCTGGTTGTTATTGACTACCATGACTTACAGAACATGTGATGCCTTCACAGATGCAATTTTCTGTTACATCCATGTATGACACTCATACTTATTTGCCCAAATTCACTGCATGCTTTCTGTGTTTTGTTATTGATAAATGATATTTTAATATTGGTAGAATAAATTTGATAAGTAAGATTGTTAGTGGCTATACCGCAAAGGGGATTGAAGTAGTGTAAAAGGATTGGCCCCGGAGATGGTACATAAGTCCACGTCATTCAGAGTATATTTTTTACTGCCTAGGTTATAATATAACATATATGTAATTATATGTTCTTTTAATTCGGCTAAATTGTCAATAGTCGCCAACTCCTGAAGGGATGATGTAAATCCTGCTGGGATCCATGCAGGAAGCAAGTCTCCATGGCCCCTAGTATGGTCCCTACCATAGCTCGCTTTAATAACGTATTGCTCTGTCTAGCGATGTATTTTTATGGTTCAATACTAGTTTTAAATCATAATCTGTGAAACGTCTATTTATTTTAATGTCCTTTGTTGACAGGTTCTTATAGTTTACATTTCTTTATTATTAAATAACCTTTGAAAGTCAATTTATGGATGAAATATTGATGTGACTTTAATTTTAACTCACTCACTCACTGCATATTTTAACAAATGATTCAATATGAATTTGCGAGATGTTGTAATGCTTGTATTTAAGTTGGTTGTATTCTATTTCGGTATTGCTGTAGAATGAATAAAACAAGTACAGATATTAATTGAGTCATCATTTCAGTTTATTGTCCATATGGAGATGTGGAGCCGTGAATCATAGACAAAATGTCATCAAAGACAGTTGTCATTGATCAAACAGGAAGGAGTGAGTTTGACTTTCGGATAATGTAAATGGGAGTAGTGCTGCAAACAATTAAATGTTAGAAATTGAATGAAATGTGTAAATGTGTAAAAGAAATCAGCAAACTGACATATATGAGACATATAAGGCGTAACACCATACTCACGCGTGTTCAGTTGTGTAAATGTTATTGATAATAACGTCTTATTTTGTCATTTATCTGATACATGATTTTTCATAACAAATTCATTAACAAAACCCATACCTGGTAGTAGGAGAAAGAGCGACACGCCCTGAACGAGGGGTGGTGTACCAAGTCAATTCACAAAGTCAATATCGTGTGTTACCACCATTTGCATTGACACAGGCGGGGCAGCAGCACCAGATGAATGACAACAGCCTGGGGGATGTTGTTTCAAATGTGAACCAAAGATGGATCAACATGCTAGCGGTACCGGCTGGTTCTGGTTCTGGTTCTGGTCCTGTCGTAGACATCGATCCATCTAATGCTAGACATGTTCTGTAGGGGAGAGCTGTGGAGAAACAGTCGGCCATGGGAGTACAGCAAGATAATGCTGCCTCATAAAGTCTATAAAAACATTGTTGTTTATCTATGTCATATATCTATATGTTTGTCTATATGTAGTTGTAATATTGCACTATATAAGATAGTGTGGTTTGTATTCGGGAAGTCATCAATATTTAAATACGGGTAAATGTTTTTAAAGCTTGTACAGTTTATCAACACCCTTAAAAATGGACGTTCAAAATGTTGATATCTTATATAAGAAATAAACGATTCGTGATCGTTGTTCGATAAACAACTCCCACTCGTCGTTCATTTCTTATGTAATATCCACTTCCCTACGCAATGCTCCGTGAAGCATAAAAACTCCGTCATTTTATACAATGCAAACAATGTTTTTCAGGAGTGGTCATATAACTAACATGACCCCTCGCATGTGCATAATATATATGTGTGTGTTGTCAATGTGGTTGTATTTCACAGTGAAGTGTGACTGAAGCAGTAGTCTCCCTTGTACTGTGCTTGTCCTGACACTGAGCCTCTACCTCCTAACTGCTACAATGTCCTGACACTGACCCTCTACCTCCTCACTGCTACCATGTCCTGACACTGAGCCTCTACCTCCTCACTGCTACCATGTCCGGACACTGAGCCTCTACCTCCTCACTGCTGTGATGTCCTGACACTGAGCCTCTACCTCCTCACTGCTGTGATGTCCTGACACTGAGCCTCTACCTCCTCACTGCTACCATGTCCTGACACTGAGTCTCTACCTCCTCACTGCTGTGATGTCCTGACACTGAGCCTCTACCTCCTAACTGCTACAGTGTCCTGACACTGAGCCTCTACCTCCTAACTGCTACAATGTCCTGACACTGACCCTCTACCTCCTCACTGCTACCATATCCTGACACCGAGCCTCTACCTCCTCACTGCTACGATGTCCTGACACCGAGCCTCTACCTCCTCACTGCTGTGATGTCCTGACACTGAGCCTCTACCTCCTCACTGCTGTGATGTCCTGACACTGAGCCTCTACCTCCTCACTGCTACCATGTCCTGACACTGAGCCTCTACCTCCTCACTGCTGTGATGTCCTGACACTGAGCCACTACCTCCTCACTGCTACCATGTCCGGACACCGAGCCTCTACCTCCTCACTGCTAACATGTCCTGACACTGAGCCTCTACCTCCTCACTGCTGTGATGTCCTGACACTGAGCCTCCACCTCCTCACTGCTACGATGTCCTGACACTGAGCCTCTACCTCCTCACTGCTGTGATGTCCTGACACTGAGCCTCTACCTCCTCACTGCTACCATGCCCTGACACTGAGCCTCTACCTCCTCACTGCTGTGATGTCCTGACACTGAGCCTCTACCTCCTCACTGCTACCATGCCCTGACACTGAGCCTCTACCTCCTCACTGCTGTGATGTCCTGACACTGAGCCTCTACCTCCTCACTGCTGTGATGTCCTGACACTGAGCCACTACCTCCTCAATGCTACCATGTCCTGACACTGAGCCTCTACCTCCTCACTGCTATGATGTCCTGACACTGAGCCTCTACCTCCTCACTGCTACCATGTCCTGACACCGAGCCTCTACCTCCTCACTGCTACGATGTCCTGACACTGAGCCTCTACCTCCTCACTGCTACGATGTCCTGACACTGAGCCTCTACCTCCTCACTGCTACCATGTCCTGACACTGAGCCTCTACCTCCTCACTGCTGTGATGTCCTGACACTGAGCCTCTACCTCCTCACTGCCACGATGTCCTGATACTGAGCCTCTACCTCCTCACTGCTGTGATGTCATGACACTGAGCCTCTACCTCCTCACTGCTGTGATGTCCTGACACTGAGCCTCTACCTCCTCACTGGTACGATGTCCTGACACTGAGCCTCTAACCCCTCACTGCTACAATGTCCTGACACTGAGCCTCTAACCCCTCACTGCTACGATGTCCTGACACTGAGCCTCTACCTCCTCACTGCTACAATGTCCTGACACTGAGCCCCTACCTCCTCACTGCTGTGATGTCCTGACACTGAGCCTCTACCTCCTCACTGCTGTGATGTCCTGACACTGAGCCTCTATCTCCTCACTGCTGTGATGTCCTGACACTGAGCCTCTACCTCCTCACTGCCACGATGTCCTGACACTGAGCCTCTACCTCCTCACTGTAACGATGTCCTGACACTGAGCCTCTAACCCCCCACTGCTACGATGTCCTGACACTGACCCTCTAACCCCTCACTGCTACGATGTCCTGACACTGAGCCTCTACCTCCTCACTGCTGTGATGTCCTGACACTGAGCCTCTAACCCCTCACTGCTACGATGTCCTGACACTGAGCCTCTACCTCCTCACTGCCACGATGTCCTGACACTGAGCCTCTAACCCCTCACTGCTTCGATGTCCTGACACTGAGCCTCTACCTCCTCACTGCCACGATGTCCTGACACTGAGCCTCTACCTCCTCACTGCTACAATGTCCTGACACTGAGCCTCTACCTCCTCACTGCCACGATGTCCTGACACTGAGCCTCTACCTCCTCACTGCTTCGATGTCCTGACACTGAGCCTCTACCTCCTCACTGCCACGATATCCTGACACTGAGCCTCTAACCCCTCACTGCTACGATGTCCTGACACTGAGCCTCTACCTCCTCACTGCTACGATGTCCTGACACTGAGCCTCTACCTCCTCACTGCCACGATGTCCTGACACTGAGCCTCTACCTCCTCACTGCCACGATGTCCTGAAACTGAGCCTCTACCTCCTCACTCCCATGATGATGTTGATATGACTCCAGCCCCCGACTATGCGCTGTGAATAGTCTCCCTTGTACCGTATCTTGTACCGCTTATACACATACTACTCTGACATTGTTGGTATGACTAAAGGTCACCGGGGTTAGCCGCACGCGGCATGTACTCACTGCAATATTGGAGGTCTGTCTAGCATACCTGAACCCGAAGGACAAGCATCACAGTTGGCAATGGTTTACACACTGGGGCAGTGTTGGTATGACTGTACTAGCGGCGACGACAACCACACAGTCTGGTGTTTGACTCAACTGTATGATTGTATGAATGAATGGATGCTACACACGGGGTGACATGGGGAATGAGGACACTACTGACACTGCAGACCATACCGTATACATGACAGTGTGTGACCAGTGTAATATCATCACACTATATATACAAACGTAGGATGACAATACAGACCACGGTGGTCGAGTGTGTATACCGTATACATGACAGTGTGTGACCAGTGTAATATCATCACACTATATATACAAACGTAGGATGACAATACAGACCACGGTGGTCGAGTGTGTATACCGTATACATGACAGTGTGTGACCAGTGTAATATCATCACACTATATATACAAACGTAGGATGACAATACAGACCACGGTGGTCGAGCGTGTATACCGTATACATGACAGTGTGTGACCAGTGTAATATCATCACACTATATATACAAACGTTGGATGACAATACAGACCACGGTGGTCGAGCGTGTATACCGTATACATGACAGTGTGTGACCAGTGTAATATCATCACACTATATATACAAACGTTGGATGACAATACAGACCACGGTGGTCGAGCGTGTATACCGTATACATGACAGTGTGTGACCAGTGTAATATCATCACACTATATATACAAACGTAGGATGACAATACAGACCACGGTGGTCGAGTGTGTATACCGTATACATGACAGTGTGTGACCAGTGTGATATCATCACACACAATATACAAATGTGGGATGTCACTGCAGACCACGGTGGTCGAGTGTGTATACCATATACATGACTGTGTGACCAATGTAATATCATCACACACAATATACAAATGTGGAATGACACTGCAGACCACGGTGGTCGAGTGTGTATACCGTATACATGACAGTGTGTGACCAGTGTAATATCATCACACTATATATATAGACGTGGGATGTCACTGCAGACCACGGTGGTCGAGTGTGTGTACCGTATACATGACAGTGTGTGACCAGTGTAATATCATCACACTATATATATAGACGTGGGATGTCACTGCAGACCACGGTGGTCGAGTGTGTGTACCGTATACATGACAGTGTGTGACCAGTGTAATATCATCACACTTTATATATAGACGTGGGATGACACTGCAGACCCCGGTGGTCGAGTGTGTATACCGTATACTTGACAGTGTGTGACCAGTGTAATATCATCACACTATATATACAAACGTGGGATGACACTGCAGACCACGGTGATCGATTGTGTATACAGTATACATGACAGTGTGTGACCAGTGTAATATCATCACACTATATATACAAACGTTGGATGACACTGCAGACCACGG